GCTGGTGCTGCTGATGCTGGGCTGCTGGTGCTGCTGGTGCTGCTGCTGTGGTGCTGCTGCTGCTGTGCTGAGCTGCTGGTGCTGGTGATGATGGTGCTGCTGGTGCTGATGGTGTGCTGCTGGTGATGATGGTGCTGCTGGTGCTGAGGGTGCTGCTGGTGCTGCTGTGTGGTGCGATGGTGCTGCTGCTGGGTGCTGATGAATGTGGGCTGCTGCTGGTGGTGATGCTGGGGCGGTGCTGGTGATGTGGTGCGCTGGCGTTGCTGCTGGTGCTGCTGGTGCTGATGCTGGTGATGGGCTGGTGCTGGTGCTGGTGCTGGTGCTGGTGCTGGTGCTGAGGTGCTGGTTTGCTGCTGCTGCTGGTGCTGGTGATGGTGCTGCTGGTGCTGGTGCTGGTGCTGCTTGATGGTGCTGGTGCTGGTGCTGGTGTTGCTTTTTGCGGGCTGCGCTGGCGGATGCGGCTGCTGCTGAAGCTGCTGCTGCTGCTGATGCGGCGCTTGCTGACTGCGATGCTGTGCTGCTGCTGCTGCTGCGGGCTCTGCGGCTGCTGCAGCGCTGCTGCGGCTGCGGATGCTGCTGCTGCGGCTGAGCCTGCCTGCTGCGGCGGCTGCTGCGGCTGCGACTGGTGATGCGGCTGCTGCTGCGGCTGCGCGGCTGCTCTGCGGTCTGCGGCTGATTGCTGCTGCTGCTGCTGCGGCTGCTGCTGCGCTGCTGCTGCTGCTGGCTGCTGCTGCTGCGGCTGCGGCTGCTGCTGCTGGCTGCTGCTGCGGCTGCTGCTGTGCGGCTGCTGCTGCTGTGCTTGCTGCTGCTTGCGCGCGGGCTGCTGCTGCTGCCTGCTGCTGCGGGCCTGCGGCTGCTGCTGCTGCGGATGCGCTGCGGCTGCTGCTGCTGCGGCTGCTGCTGCTGCGGGGGGGCCTGCTGCTGCGGGCTTGCTGCTGCTGCATGGGCCTGCTGCTGTGCGGCTGCTGTGCTGCATGCGGCTGCTGCTGCTGCGGATGCTGCTGCTGCATGCGGCTGCTGCTGCTGCGGCCGCTGCTGCTGCATGCGGTGCTGCTGCATTGCGGCTTGCTGATGCTGCGGCTGCTGCTGCTGCGGCTGCTGCTGCTGCGGTGCTGCTGCTGCTGCTGCTGCTGCTGATGATGCGGCTGCTGCTGCTGCGGCGGCTGCTGCTGCTGCGGCTGATGCTTGCGGCTGCTGCTGCGGCTGCTGCTGCGGCTTGCCGGTGCGGCTGCTGTGCGGCTGCTGCTGCGGCTGCTGCTGCGGCGGCTGCCTGCGGCTGCTGCTGCGGCTGCTGATGCGGCGGCTGCTGGGCGTGAATGCGGGCTGCTGCTGCGGCTGCGCTGCGGCTGCTTGGCTGCTGCGGCTGCTGCTGCCTGCGGCTGCTGCGGCTGCTGCGGGCGGCTGCGGTGCTGCTGCTGCTGCGGCTGTGCTGCGGCTGACGGCGGCGCTGCTGCGGCTGCGCGGCTGCTGCTGCGCTGATGCGGCTGCGGCTGCGGCTGTGCTGCGGCCTGCTGCGGCTGCTGCGGCTGCTGCGGGCGGCTGCTGCGGCGGTGCGGCGGCTGCGAACTGCTGCCGGCTGCTGGGCTGGCCTGCTGCTGCGCTGCTGCTGCGGCTGCTGTGCGGCTGCGCGGCTGATGCTGCGGCTGCTGCTGGGTGCTGATGCGGCTGCTGCGGTGCTGCTGCGGCTGCTGCTGCGGCTGAGCTGCGGGGCTGCGGCTGCGCTGCAGCTGCTGATTGCGGCTCTGCTGCGGCTGCTTGCGGCTGCTGCGGCTGAATGCTGCTGGGCTGCTGATGCTCGGCTGCTGCGGCTGCTGCTGCTGCTGCTGCCGCTGCGGCTGCGGATGCGGCCTGCGGCTGCAGGCTCGGCTGCGGCTGCGGCTGCGGCTGCGGCTGCGGCGGCTCTCGGCTGCGGTGCTATGCTGGGGCTGATGCTGGTGCTGCTGATGGTGTGCTGTGCTGGTGCTGCGCTGGGCTGCTGCTGGTTGCCGCTTGCTGGTGGCTGCTGATGGTGTGCTGCTGGGGCTGTACTGTGGTGCTGCTGTGGTGCTGCTGCTGCTGCTGCTGCTGCTGGGCTTAAAACCACATTGACGCGCCTCCTGGTTTGTCTCTACCTCATGCACAGACAAGAAGCAGATATATGGGTTGACGGGGGTTGCAGGTGTCGTATGTACTCTGTTGTTGCTGTCGTTGTTGGTGGTGTCGTTATCGTTATCGTCGTTGTTGTCGCTGTTGCTGTTCTTGCAGTGATGGTGCTAGATTCTCATGGTGGTGACAGATAGACGCAGAGTGGAAGGGCTGAATTCATCATTATCGTCGTTGTGGCGAAAATGTGACGACGCTACCGTCGTCGCCATTGCTGTCGCCCTCGTCGATGTTTGCATCATGAACGAAAACTACAAGCACCATCGAAGTATAACATCGACATAGTACCGTCGTCGTGGTCAGCATCATCATCGTCATCGCCCTCCCGATCCTCATCTTTGTACAGCCGTCACCACCCCAGGGTGCACCTGACCCGGGCATCCTCGTCGTCCGAGTTGGCTTCCGCCTGGCTCAAAAAAAGCACAGGGATGCTAGGATGCCGTTTGCGAAGAACCTGGGAACTCAATCAGACATACTCAAAAGCTCAGGGGACTTAGTACGTCAGACAACATGTAAACTTGTAACTAGGATAACCCTAGTAGCTAATGTACTTTTCGCCCCGAACATAACCCTACTTACTAAGTCCTTTGAGCCCTTACCATTGCGGATCGACTTCGACCAGAATGCCTCGTCAGGCAGGTAGCCCTCTGCTTGAGCCCGCAGCGCACACTGCCGTTCAAAGCGGGCGATATCATCATCCTCGTCCGAACCACCTGCCAAGCAAAGGCTTCAAAGTTTCGTTAATCACTCGGCTTGAGCTGAAACCTGCAACTAGTAATGATGCTGAAGTCCGAAAATACCGTCTGAGAAAATGGCGTGTTGATGCCATTGGACTACTTGTATCAAAACGAACCCTAATCCCACAAGTGCGAGGATGGATCAACTCGTCTATATGCCATGTAATAACAAACAGTGGCTGAACCAAGCCCTAAACCCCTAAACCCCTAAACCCTAATCCCTAAACCCCTAAAAACCCTATACCCTAACCCCCAAAACCCTGCAAAACCCCCAAACCCCCCTATCACCCAAAGCTCGCCTCCAGAAAGCTCGGCATGAGCTTCAAGCTCCATGGCACACCGAGCCGAAGGTTCTGGGACAAGAGCTCTGCGCACGAGTGTCGCTGTGGCTGTCTGGGTCTACTACAGGGGCCTTAAGAAAAAAATAGAATACGGTCTGGGGGTATATTATACTGTAATGATAATATGAGTCGCTCTAGGTCTAGGTGACTCGAGGAGTCTGTTGCATTTGGAGAAAGAAGGAGCGTAAGTGTTACACTTCAACGTCAGGTTGTCAAAGCCCCGACTTTCAGTGCTGGCCTCATACCTTGCGCTGTGGGAGGGGTGGGTGACTGTGGCTGGGGCAATATAGTCACACATTTATCACTCTTCTAACTTTACGAACGTTGCTGATAGTACGAAAACTGACCATTAAACGAAACATCATTGCGGTATGCATCAGCAGTGAAGTCGTGGACAACAGCAGCAAGACGTCTGCAGAACTCACCGAAGGGATTGCGCCACTCCGGAACAACATCCTCAACTGTTGAAGATGCTCTTGGAAGACGATTGCTGCCGCTGTCGTCATTGAGAACTTCTGAGAATGAACAGAATGAAGACGGCCGAGCCAAATAAACGCAAGGGGGGCAGTCAGAAGGATTCTGATAGGGATGCTCCCAACGGCGATGTCGACGGTGCTGTTGATAACGACAGCCGTGACGATGGATATGACAATGATTAGGACGACGATGTGTGAGCTTGCTGGAGCAGACAGGGTGGTTCAGGTTCAGGGATGAAGACGAAGATGAGATCATGTTGAACATAATTGCTACGACATTGAAACTGCTGTTACTTGTACTGCCGATGGTGCTAGCACTAGCACTAGCAATCGTAATGGTCTATGACAATGGCGGAAACGAAGATGAGGGGAAGGCTTCGAGCTGGCAACGAGTCTTTCGGCGACAGACTTCGTCGGCCCCATGAGTGCTCTTAAAACTGCAAGAAAATTCGCTGTGCACACCGTACGTTCGCACAACTCCGGCCAGAGATCTCCATGTCCAAGACGACCAAGCTGAAAAGGGTCAATATCAGTATTCACGGTAACACTAATGTGACAATCTTGATATTGATAGTAATTGATATTGCTAGACACATGAACGTTTACATTTGACCATTTCTCGTTACAAACATCGTTCCGGCCAAAGCGCAGGGCTTGGAAATCCCAGTCAAGGTGCCTGTCGGATCCTTCAGCTCTTGTGAGGAAAACCCTAAACTCTTAACCCTAAGCCCACGGTTTAGGGTTTAGGGCTATGGGAGTTTCCGAAAATAGGGGACCCTAATTAATATAGTGCCCTAGATACGTAGTAGGATCCTGATTATAAGGACCCCAAAATGAGGTACCCCCTAATTTTCGGAAACCCCCTTACTGCTAGGGAGCCGAGAGGCAGTGTCTCGAGTTGAGACCTACATATCCATGACAGAGCATTTACGGAAAAGGTCCACGTGGGCCTAATCGCCGTTCTTCGGCCATGCAGAACGAATTCACTTTGCACATCGCCTTTGGTCATGCTTCTGGAACGAGACGTTTATGTGTAGGTTTCCTCATGAAGCATACTACACCGCTGCTTGAAGGAAACAATACATTTTTTGTGAGGACTTTCGTTGGCGATGTGACAGGTGTAGCAGCTACCCAATTGGGGTCAACTACAACATTGGGGAAACTTGCCACAGATTTCATGGATTTCGAAGATGTAGCTCTTCGTGGCAACACGATCTGACAGTCTACTGCCTACGGGAGGATGTCATGATGCGAGCTCTGGCTGGAAATCCACTTCTAAAGACATTTGCACTGCTTGCCAAACTTCACAGAAATGTGGAGGAAAACCCTGCACCACGCCTGCGCATTCTATGAACCAGGAAAGCCATCACTTTCAGGTGCACGAACACGTCTTCTTACCATATCCACTTAGATCACATAAACGTGCAAGATGACACCTATGCACTTCAATATAAATTTCACATCATATTTAATTCGTATCCCATAAGGTAAGAAACACATGAACTGCAATGAAGACTTCAGGTACCTCCGGCAACACCTCTGGCAAACCGCCGCAGCCGTTGACTGTGACCACCACATAGACCAGGTTCCGCAGAGCATACGTTTTTACAATCCCAAGCCCAAACAAGGACCTTGAGAATTAGAAAAAGGACTTGGGGCATATCATATTACAAATTAGAGAACTTGTAGAACCCGATAAGACAGTGTTACTGCTGGTTTAGGACACTATATTTTGCTGCCCCAGACCCTCCGCACCAAGAAAATCACCGAACATCCCAGGCTCCGGGCGCTGATTGCGGGTGGTGGTAGGGCATTTCGCCTCACACAGAGTTCGGGGTGTAGGGCTTAGGCTAAGGAGAGGAAAATACACACATGTGTGTACGAACACGCCGTTGCATGTTTATAGTATACATGTACATGTACATATGTAGGTGCGTACCTATCTTGTAGCGTGCTTATACCTTGAGGTTTGTGTTGAATGTTCTAACACATAGGTAGCATGCTTGTGTAGGTGCATATATATATATATATAATGTGTATATATATATATATGATTCGGTGTATACACACATGCATATGCACACACAACTGGACTCGCATCTCGCTGGCGTTTGGCATCCATGTCTCTCTATCGAGCTTTAGCGTCGTGCAGAAAAGCATGGGTCCACCATTTTCCTAATTAATTGCAGCGTCTTCGATTTGAAACGTCTCACACAACCTCAAAGCCCCGAAAATGTTCTGAAATGCTGGAACTGTGAGAGTGTAAATGGCCTGGAGCCACGATTTCTGTTGGAAGACACTCGGGTGTGCCCGCCTTCCTCCGCAGTGCCAAGTTCTCCCAACTTCACTTGTCAAAGCAGCGGTTCTTGCAGGTATACCACCCTAACCGCCGTATCCCTAACCCTGCAAACCCTACACCGCGTCTCCCCGCCGGAAACTGGAACTACCAACATCTCGGAAAGCCCATCTTTCGCCAGCACCAAGCATCGCGCTGTAGTACGGTGTGACATTCGAAGTTGCCGGGACCTGTCACCAGCCGCAGCGAGTGGTCTGCTTGGATAAAGTGCTGAGCCACGGTTGACTGCCTGCTGCAAAGGTACCTATAGTCTCCATTGTAGTTCCTTCTTGGTTTCACCAAACAAATTCCTTTTTTTCTAGAAAAACCTAGTTTTTCTAGAAAAACTAGTAGATCCCGCAAGGTATCCCGAAATAATCAACTCCAATGGAGACTATGTTCGGTGTGGCTCAGAAGGAGGAACCGTTTGCACTTCTTCGTGTCCTCCAAATCTGCACGCAGCCCCCAAAATGCCTTGACAAATCGAGGCTCCAGATCCTAAAGAAGGGCTTGAACAGGTGCCGATCGGGTTCTCTACGAGCGGCGCGGGTCAAATTTCAAACAGCGCAAAAATCCCAAATCCTAGCTGGTGGGCCGCCCTTCCTTGAACTCCAAACTTTTAGTTCGATTGATACTTAGTTTGATTGATAAACCCATTGGTAAATTCTAGGGGGACGGAGATCGCCTTCTCATGGGGACAAAGGGAACCGAAACTCTACATCCGAGCGGCTCCCCTCCGAAAAGCCCTGAGCCAAAATGCGGTCCTTCACGCTTTGGAAAGTCTCTTCGTACTTCGGGGCCTCAGACGGAGGCTTGTACTTCTACTGGGACTGGGTGGGCTCTACATGAACCCAGACTTGACAGCAGACGATAAAGAAGGCGAGCGGGAACCCGACACTCATGAGGCAGTTCCGCATACTTGGAGGATCATGGGACTTAGTAAGTGAAGCAATAAGTTCCCTAATTGGAGTTATAAGTATAGTTACCTTATTTATATCCCTAGTTACTAAGTCCCATGATCCTCCAAGTATGGCTGGTGGCACTCAAGCTCCATCTGCGACTCCACTGCAACGCGCCTACGCCATCCACCGTAAACGCCAATCTCTGTACCGCAATTGCCGTGCCGTCGGTTACATACCGAGAGGAGGTCCAGAGAGGACAAAGTCAGACATAGCCACAGCTGGCCCTGAAACTCTTCCACCACGTATCTCAAACGGGAAAAGGAGGGACCTTTGATGGGGACCCGCACACTATAATGGGCTATCTAATGGGTATATAATAGCTATATTAAGGGTATATACAAGAACCTGTGTTCAACCAACTTCGGAAGCTCCTGGCAAGAAATGACAGGCACACATAGCCGGAATCCTAAGAAATGAATGCTAGACCCGAAACCCCACAACCCCTAAACCCTAAAAATCCCTGACCTAAACTCCTTAGCCCTAAACTACTCCTTTAACCCCTAAACCCCTAAACCCTAAGCCGGATTCCGAACCCTCCGTTTCTCGGGAAGACTAACATGATGGGAGGCCAAAAGGGGGGTTTAAGATTCTTGGGGTAGGGATTCCTTTAATACGAACCCTACTATGGGAACCCCAATCCCTACTCAACCCCCATAAGCTAAGCCCCTTTTTGGCCTCCTATGATAACAGCCCTCGAAGCAGGGGAGCTCCCGGAATTTTACTGGACCCTCCGGGGCCGGGGCATTATAGACGGGAACAGCGGACCTGGGGTTCTGGCGGAGGCTAGTGTACGTTATAATATACATATATATATACATGCACATATATATGTATACATACATACATACAGTTCTAATTCATTACATATGTATGTATATATATATATATATAATATGGTATTCCGTCTTCTGTATTCTGTGTTCTATGTTGAGTATAGCAATATGTATGTATAACATTTTATGTGTAAGTATGTGTGTGTATATATATATCATATGTGTTATACATACAGGATACAGTACACAACATGATACATAATATTGGACTTTTCTGAAAGCCCGGTCGATCCTGAACATTTGGTTGTAGGATGCTGTGGGAAGGTTTCATGGCGTCTCGGGGCAGATCCCCCAAAATACTAGGTACTGCTATGGAGGATACTTTCGTAAATCATAAGCTTAATTCTATTGTAGAAACCCTACATTCCGCTGACTGAGAGGTAGTACTTTGGACCTTTGGGGGATGTAAATTCATTCGTGCACGCTAGCCCCTACACAGCAATGAAGAGGAAGAGGTCAACGGAGGTACACGCGCGGTATAAGGCTACAGACATGGGCGCATAGCGATTACGTGGGTTGAGCTTGGCTTGCCTTCATGACTGTGGGCTTGAAGTGTTGGTGTCCATCAAGCGGGCCACAGACATGACTGAGACCTTTGCAAGGAGACAATCACGAGCTGAGGGAAATGCAACGCTAGATGGCAAGTCGTGCACGCCTTATAGACGCGAAGATGCCAATTGCTCGAGACCTTATTGAAATCATCGCGCCTTATCCGTTGATTTCGAAAACAACGCTAAATTGAGTCCTACATGCGCACACCGTAAGACTTCCTGTGAGAAAGTTACGCGCGCTGCGCATTCGAACAACCGTTACGCCCACACCACCAAAGATCTAAACCTACTTAAAATCCTATACGTACCCCGAAACCCCTTAACCCTGAACCCCTAAACGATTAAACCCTAAACCCCCTCACCCTACACTTCAGAAACCCCGACAAGGTCTTTAAAGGCTCTCCCCTCCCCCCCCACCCCCCGCCCTGGCCCGAGTTGAAATCCGGATCGCCTTGTGCTGGGCAATGGAGATGCTGGGACCTCCGAACTACAAAAGGAACGACTTTGGGGCCGATGGGTAGGGTTTAGGGGCTTAGGGGTTTAGGGTTTAGGCCTGAGGGTCCAAGTACAGTATTTGGACCCTCAAGGAAGGGGTACTTTAAAGGGGGAACTACACGCACTGCAGGTGAATACCGCGATAGCGCAAAGCGATGCTACAACAAAGGGGTACTATGAAGGGCTACCCCCCGAACAATACAAGACCGGACCAAGAGTAGTCAAAGCACGGCTGAGCCTCACGTGTACCAAAGATGGCAACGCATAACTGGCTGGGTATTCACCTAACACCCACGGACGGTACGCCCGTTGTGGTAGCTCAGTAGCGCCTGTGGCGGTTCTTTCGGGGCGGCGCTAGATTGGTCCACATCTTAACCTAACTCCCACGACTAGACAACTGCAAAGGCCCCCCACTGAAGTGTGAAGCTGGCACCTCTTTGACACGGACCGACCCTAACACTCAACATCTGCATCGTGCCTGGTAGAGCTGCGACTGGGTCGAACCCTGGCCAGCGGAGAGTAAAGGCGGACGCTTCGGGCTCTCATATGCTCTCATTCAGGTGAGGATACCGGATACCCATAAAGGAAGCCCTATAGATCCCTTGAAGGAGCCCTTAAAAGAAGGCCTATGGATCCCTAAAAGGTACCCAAATCGATGGACTACCATGGTTGCTTTTTGTTATCGATCCATCAAGCGACACTTACCCCAAAGACTCCTAAGTTCTATGGGGGGGACAGTTTAGGGTTTAGGGTTTGGGGTTTGGGGTTGAGGGTTTAGGGATGCGGTGGGTTACTTCCCAAAAAGAACAGCAATTCCCTGTTATCGTAATCCTACTTCCTGTTGTCTGAGTGAAGCACAGTCCATCTTTGAGAACCTCTTCACTACTGGTGATGATATAAATCCTGCATTACCTTAAGGATCCGAAACTGTGCGAATTATGGTATCTTCCTTGCTATGGTTAATGCAGGATTTGGATCATCAGCCGTATCACCCGAAGCATCAGTTTTCTCCTGCACCACCCTGAAAAATGGCCACTCTATGCTCCAGCACAACACGAACTACATCCAAAAAAGGCTGCTGCTGCACTTGGCATAGGGTACTCAATACCAGTGTAAGATAGGTTCCCTTCCAAGACTTTCTGATGAAATAAGGAGCAAACCCTACACCCTAAACATCCACAAACCCCGAAACGATACGAAACGAGCTCAGCTGGCTTAAACCAAAGGCACTGTGTCGAAAAGCAGCTGCAAAAACACCGTCTAAAACCACCACAAAACAGAATATTTAAACCTCTTACCCGAAATAATTTCAAACCACTAAGGAAAGCGCACAGACTCCCATCAAAGCCTTCGAGTAGCTCTACAACAAGATCTCCCTAAAAATCCTGGTAGAGCTCGAACAAAAAACAAGACTACCCTTGTAGAACTCTTAAAAATATACCGGAACGAACCCCCAAAGAACTCTTAAATATTCCTTAAAGTTTGAAGATGCCCCAAGGCCAACCCACCCTTAGATATCCCTTAAAGAACCCTCAAAGTTCCAAAAAGCCTAGATATTCTTGAAAGTATATAGATTTAGATACCCCCGGGCACCCTTGAACGCCCCTTCAACTTGGAGGATCATGGGACTGAGTAGCTAGGTTATAAATAAGGTAACTATACTTATAACTCCAACTAGGGTACTTATAACCTTACTTACTAAGTCCCATGACCCTCCAAGTAAACCCTAAATCCCTGCAGATCCCTTATAGAACCCTTTTAGGGGCCCCGAAACCTTATTCTAATTGTTCAGTCCCATGATCAAAGAAGACCCTAAACCCTAAACCCCTATACATCCCTTGTAGATCCCTTTGAGGAGCCCCTTAAGCACCCCCTTAGTAGTAGCCCTTCAAGAACCCTCAAAGTGCCAAAAGCCTAAGGTTCCTAGAGTCCTGGAGCCCTAAACCCTAAAACCCTAAAACCCTAAACCCTAAAACCCTAAACCCTAAAACCCTAAACCCTAAAACCCTAAACCCTAAAACCCTAAACCCTAAAACCCTAAACCCTAAAACCCTAAACCCTAAAACCCTAAACCCTAAAACCCTTTTGAAGCAGGAACTGGATTAGTGAGTGTCCAACCACACAACGAGCACACTTTTTGGTCTGAGCCCAAGACGTCTGTCGTACAGGGTGCATTCAGAACTGAACATGAAAACTACGCTCGCATGAGGACATGTCAACACGGCTCTTCAAGACAGGGAAATTTCACACCCGTCTTATCTGTAGTGTGACGTCCGAATCATGCACGAATTTTGGTCGCTTTGGACCAAACCTACTCACCGGATTATACCGGGAGCTTGCACAGTCAACCGAGCCGAGTGCGGCGACTCAAGGCTCTAGGCTGAGTTCTTCAATCGTGAAGCGGAGTGCCTTCGGTACTCTCGGTTTTGTGTGCGGCTTGCGCGGGCACATCGAGTACCTGTACGAGATTGCGATCAATGCTGTGATTGATCAAAAGCGGTTTCATACTCTTAGTGAGACAATCCGCAAGTTGTAAATGCGTCGGTATCCATCTCAACTCGTCGCCACAGGGATGGTACAGGACGTGCGTTAGCTCGTCCTCTTCCCAGAGTCCTTGGCGAAGTCCAGACATCTCAATGGCAAGGCGTTTATCCTCGCAGGACTTTGGAATCGACGCTGTCAAGTGATCCGAAAGGGACCTGCAGTCCGTATACTGCAGGTGGAACATCGATCTTTTGGCGACTTCTTCCCAGTTCTGTGACCGGGGCAGTTTGCCGAGTACTTCGAGTACTGCTGCTCGAATGCGGTCTCCATGCTCTATGGCATGTTGCAACGAGTAAGCCTCACACTGCAGTGTGGCTCGACAAACCCGTTTCATGGTGGACGAGGAAAACGAAATGAGGTGCATCTCATGCGTTGGCGCGTTCTTGTCCACCGCCGACTGTGCGGAAGTGAGATAGTGGAAACGGCCTCTCTGCGACTTATGGTTCGCCTCTCCTGCAAAGGAGGCGTCGCAAAACGTGACGATCGCCAGGTCCCCTGTACTCCAGGGTAACTTAGCGCTGTACGTGATCGGCCTATCCGCATCTCCTAACGCCAGTGCTACTACGCGGTTTGCTTCACGGAGCGTATCCACCGTGGCTGTCGTAACACGCTGCTGCAGGGCATTCACCCTATAGGCAAGATCAGGTCTCGTGGCGCGAGCCACCCAAGCCAGCGATCCTATGACGGATCTCAGCGCTGTGCGCTGGCCATTCGAGACTGGAGTCGTGCCCTTTTCAGATTTATGTATATCGATCGGGCGAATTGCACGCGTGTTGTCCCTACAGTTTATACTGATGGTCCCATCGGCGCTTTGCACATACTCGCGTCCGCAGAAACGGAACTTCTCAGTCTCTATGCGACCGATCTTAAACTTATCCAGCAGATTCTGGATAGCCGGCTCGCCTTCGGCGGTAGCAGCCCACAGGAAATCATCCACGTGGGTGCACAAGCAAGCACACAAACGACCACCTTCTCCTGTAATATAGTACAGGGCTGACAGAATTTGCGAGGCATTTAAGCCAAATTCTCTACAACTCTCCTTTATACGGAGGTAAAGGTTCCGGCCCGCGTCGGTGGTGCCGTACACGGGTACTCGGGCAATCATATACCCGGCTCTCTGAATTTCTGCATCGGGCACACCCTTAGGGTGTTTGGGAACCCGAAGAATGAGGAGGCGCTCAAGGGGTTTCCCTTGGAAGTATGCGTTCGTTATATCGGCTGCTTTGAGCCGCAGGGCCAACGAAACCGCCCATGAACACAGAAGGGCTATACCTTCCGGCTCGGCCGTGGGGCTATCTGCCCTGATATCCTCCTCATTCGAGATATGCTCGAAGTTTCCACATGCGACCAAGCGTGCTTTCCACTTGGGAGTGTATGCTGCTGTCCCCTTTAGGTGTTCATTCTTATCGGTAAGAACCCATTTGGTGGGGATACACACGTGGCCAGCTTTTGTAAGCTCCTTAAACTCCTTGTCTGTGCAAGGGACCACCGCGTTGAATTCGGTGTACTTCTGCCACTCAGTCTTCATGGCAGCATCCAGGCCCAGCTGTACCTCCACAGGGGCCTTATGGTAGTCCAGGAGCGAGGCCATATAGCCAACATCGACGTTAGAGCCGATGGCGTCTTCCCCATCAGGGGTGAGAGCAAAGGCCTTGGATTCCGCCTCGCGACTATCCGAGGGCTCGACTGCTGGCACTGTCGTGCCAATCGCAGCTGTGTGCGATGCTGCTGCCAGTCCGTCGTCCTCCTCAGGAGTGTAGTGACACGGATGGGTTTCTGGCAGTCCGCTAGCACGTATGTGCTCCGCAAGTTTCGAATGCTCGAGCCATATGTGCTGGGCGATATTTCGCCGATGACATCGCCGCCAACTGGCCTCCGAACATAACAGAAGTGTTCGGTGAAAGTCATCGTGAGCCTCGCTAACTATTCTAGCGATCGTACAGAGCCCTTGGTCTGTTTGCAGGTTGGCTTCAATCCCGCCCCGGTTCCTGTTGCCTAACTCGGGGGCGTGACTGTACACAACTCCTTTTGCAAAACATGTGGCAGAAAGTTCATCACAATTATATTGTGGATGCCGAACGCTGTACGGGTGACTTCTGCAATCTACGATTTCCTTAATCCCGTACTCGTGGATGCGTTCTAGGAACGTCTCGATGGGAAGATCAGAGTGACCCATGGTAATATCCCATCGCTTTTCCTGCCAAAGGTGTTGGGCGCATCCCTATATATGGGGTAGCCTAGATCCGACAAAAGCTGTATGTCATCTTTAGACAACTTGCCGAGATCACTCACCGTGTATGCGGAGAGACTGTATCTTTCTCCTACAAACGGTGCGACCATGTGCACGTCCTTCGGGCGAAACTTAAGAACCTTGTTCTTAGTATCATGGACGGTGCCATACATTGTCGCGTTTTGAACACGCACGGGAGTTGTACCCGTGGCTTCTTCCACCCATAGGCCGCCTCCACGATACTCGCCCACACCTATAGTGTAGTTATACGAGCCAGGAGTGTTCGCTAGGTCTCTGTGGGCCTCTGCGCCTCTGTTGGTAAGCTGAACGCTACTCCACTGTGGAAGATGGTGGCCAGCTTGCATACTGTGATGCAAGAGGTAGTGGTTGAGGTACATGGCGAACGACGGTCTCTCGCGCGTCGGTCCAGAGACACCAACAAGACCACCGTGCCGATATACTCCCACCGCGAGGGCTATGCTCCCGGGATCTCCATCATCTAGGAGCGGGCGCGTGTACGCCTCGCGTCGGTCGCGGTCATAAGCGCGAAGGAGGGCCAGACACTCATCTGGAGAGAAACCCTGAGCATCTATCAGGCCTTTTGCCATGATCTCTACTTGATCAAGCTCTTCCGCAACTAGTGCGTCATCACGGCCTCCTACTGGCGATCGCGACCGGGCGGTTTCGCCCGTCTTATCTTTGGCGCGAAACCTTGCAGGGGTAGATGGCGC